ATGTATGTATGCATGTATCTATCTATCTATCTATCCATACACACACACACATACACACCACACACGGTGGTGGTAGTGTGCCATCAAGTTCTGATTCATAGTTACCTTGCATAGGATTTCTGAGGCTGTAAATCTTTATGGGAACAGAAAGTCTCCTCTTTCTCTCCTGGATAGACTGGTAGATTCAAACAGGTACTCTTGTGGTTAGCAGGCCAGCTCGTAATTTACTATACTACCAGGACTCATATGTTGTTGTTGTTGTTGATTCTACAGCAGCACACCCTGGACAGGGTTTCCAAAGAGGAGCTGTTGGCTTTGAACTGCCCCGTCCTACAGCAGCATGTCCTAACTCCATGTATAAAATCTCTGTGTGTGTATAAATGGCCTCATCTTTAGAGGGTCTTACGCTGCTGTTGGTAAATGCCGTCAAGTTAGTTCCAATTCATAACGAGCCTGTATAGGGTTTACAAGGAGCGGCTGGTGAGTCTGAACCACCACTGAAAAAATGTGTGTTATATGTAGACGCACTCATGTCTAGAGGATCTTATACTGCCCACTAATTCAGGACCAAACACTGACTTGGCATTTTCCTTTGTGGGGGTTTGATGGGCCTGACTGTTCTGACTTTGGATGAATGACTGCAACTCTCCAGGCCTCAGTGTCTGCATCTGTAGAATGGAGAGATGGGAAGGGTGCCTCCAGAGCAGGAGCAGAAGACGGCAGAGGTGGAAATGCCATGGAAAGGCTAGCTTTGGGCGCACAGTGTAACGATGTTAGCTTTCCTCCTTCAGTCCCTGGGCCCCAGGACTGTCTCTTGACAGTGACCCAGGCACAGTGGGCTGCCAAATGCCCTCTGAGCCTCCCTGTTTCTGTGCCCTGGCAGCACTCGGTTTGCCGGGGACTAAGGGTTGGATTTCCTGGGCTGTGGGATTTTCACTGCTAAACCAGGATGATCCCAGGCAGGCCGGGATGGTTGGTCACTCTAGCTAGACATCACAGTCTCATGAGGATCCTTCAAATAGGGGAGATTTCTTGATACGAGGTCCTTGCTAGGGTGGGGCCTGAAAAAGTGCATGCTCAAAACACTGATGATTCTGATGTGCAACAGGGTTGAGAAGCAAGACCCGAGGTGGGCGGAAACCTGGGGTTTACAGGGTGGAACGCATTGGAGGCACAGTGGTTAAGCACCTGTCTGCTAACCCAAAATCACTCTTTGGGAGAAAGTTGTAACAGTCTGCTTCTGTAAAGACTTATAGCCTTAGAAACCCTATGGGGGCAGGCAGTTCTACTCTGTTACGGGTTACGAGTGGAAATCAACTTGCTATCAGTGAATAGGAGGTTAGCCAGGGCTGTTGTGCTCCTCTGGAGAGTTCAATCCCTGATCTTCCATGACCACTCGATCCCCTATGGTTCCTCCTGTCTCTCAACACTGTGATTTCATTGCCCTTTTTGCTTTGGCTACCAGGAAGCTCAGTGCTAAGTTCTTGGTTGAATCACTACAATTGTGTAGGACCTTACAGCTTAGGTAAAGTATGTCTGGAAATGAGCATGCTCAGGCCTAGGGTGTGTTGTGTTGTCTTTGACCAGACCAGGAAAAGGGCTCCGATAGTGGTTATAGCTACATACGCAGAAGGAAGGGTACGGGTAGGGGGTCACACTAGGCTCTTTTCCCACCCCTGGAAGATGACAATTCCTAGAAAGGCTTTCACCTTCTTCCCCTGATGGCCTCCCCACTTGGCCCACTCTGACTTGTTTGCCAAACTTTAGTGCAGATACCACCTCCTCCAAAAAGTACCCCTGATTGTACCCAAGTCTGAGCTCTATAGCCTTTATGCAACCTGCCATTCATCATGGTGGTGGTGGTTATGTGCCATGGAGTCGGTTCTGACTCACAGTGACCCTGTACAAGGTTTCTGAGGCTGTAAATCTTTACAGGAGCAGAAAGCCTCCTCTTTCTCCCCACAGAATAGCTGGTAGTTTCGAACTGATGACCCTTAGGTTCGCAGCCCGATTCATAACCACTACACTAGGGTGGTAACTGTCTAGTTACAAGAGACTGTAAGTTTCTTAAAGACAGGGACCTTGGCCATTCAGGACTCTCACACAGAAACAGGCCAGGTAGCGTCCACCTAAGACACTCCAGCACTAGCTCAGCCCAGACCTGCCCCAGCTGCTGGATGCTGGTTTCCACAGCAGCAAGACCAATGGATACGGATGATTCTGAGGATAAATAAACTGTGGTACATACACACAATGGAATACTTTGCTACCTTGAAGAATAATAATATGGATGACCCTTGAGGACATTATGCTAAGTGAAATCAGTCAATCACAAAAGGACAAATATTGCATAAGACCATTACTGTAAAAGCTTAAGACAAGATACCAATAACAAAAAAAAACCTTTCTTTGTTGGTTACTGGTGGGCGTAGGGTGGGGGGATTTTGGGGAGGTGGAGGGAGGTGACAGTAGAGCACAGGGTAGGGGGCAGACACATCATAGTTC